CCAACTGAAGATGCCAGGCATCACATTCGTAATTTTCTGGAAGTTTATGATTATTTCCGCCAAGAAGGAGTGCATGAGGATTTTCTGAAATTAAAGCTTTTTTCGTATTCATTGCGTGACCGAGCAAGGGCTTGGTTGAGTGGTGTACTAGCCGGTTCGATGGAATCATGGGCTGATCTTTGCAAGAGTTTCTTATTGAGGTACAACCCACCAAACATGAATACGCAGCTAAGGAATAAAATATCATCTTTTCGCCTGGGCGATGACGAATCCATGTATGAGTGTTGGGATCGTTACAAGAGTTTGCTTCGAAAGTGTTCAAATCATGGTTTTCATGATTGTACTCAAGTAGTCATGTTCTATAATGGAGTCAATGCACCCACGAGGATGTTACTGGATGCCTCGGCAAATGGGACATTGCTGGACAAATCACCTACAGAGGCATTTGCTATCTTGGACAGAATTGCTAACAATGATTATCAATTTTCTTCCTCAAGACTTGGGAGTGGGAGGAGAGCACCTGGAGCATTCGAGTTAGAAGCCAAAGATTCGGTGTCTGCTCAACTCTCCGCTATTACTAATATGTTGAAGAACTTACAATGTTCCATTGATGTGAAGGAAGTGAAAACAACTAGTCTGGCATGTCTGTTATGCCAAGGCAATCATCACGAGAGCGAATGCCCAACCAACCATGAGTCCATCAACTTTCTAGGTAATTACAATCGAGGCAGCAACAATCCTTACTCAAAAACTTACAATGCTAGATGGCGTCAGCATCCTAATTTTTCATGGGGAAATCAAGAAGCCCACAATGCTAATCAACCTATTAGGCAGCAGAATCACAATGAGCCTCAAAGTTACCAAAATGCTATGCCATGGCATAATGCTAACAAAGGAGCTTCATCTTCAGCGAGCATAAGTTCCTTAGAAGCTACAATTCAAGAATTCATATCTACTACAAAGACAATGCTGCAAGACCATTCTACTTCAATTAAGAATCAAGGAGCTTTACTTCATAGTCAAGGCGCCTTACTTCAAAGCCATAGCTCGTCTCTGAGAGCTTTGGAAGGTCAAGTTGGTCAGATTGCTACGGCATTGCAAGAGCGTCAGCAAGGACATTTGCCAAGTGATACTGAAGTCACTAAAGGGCCTGGAAAAGAGCACTGCAATGTGTTAACTCTTAGGAGTGGAACACAAATCAATCGACAAGTCAAGGATAGTGGGCCACAACAAGATGATTCTAATCCCACTACTGAAGCTGAATTACAAGATGATAGAGTTTTTGAGAAGGGCAAGGAGGAGGATTCTGCCAAGGTACCAAATTCTGATGCCAAGGCAAAAGAAAATTCTATTCCTACAGCTAAGGAAGCTAGACCTCCCCCACCCTTCCCGCAAAGATTGAAGAAGCACAATGATGAAGTTCAGTTCAAGAAGTTTGTAGACATTCTTGACCAGCTCCATATCAATATACCTCTCTTGGAAGCTATTGAACAGATGCCGATGTATGCCAAATTTCTGAAGGACATCTGTACCAAGAAGAGGAAAGTAGAGACTATTTCCACGGCAACAGAATTTTGTTCTTCATTGAGTAAGTTGCTGCCAAAGAGAAATGATCCGGGCAGCTTCATTATTCCTTGTTCAATTGGAGCTAATTTCGTTGGAAAGGCTTTATGTGATCTTGGTTCAAGTGTCAACTTAATGCTGAAATCGATATTCTTGAAGCTTGGCATAGGAGATGCAAGACCCACCTCAGTTATTTTACAACTTGCCGACAAATCCCATGTTAAACCTGAAGGGAGAGTCGAGGATGTCATAGTAGGGGTGGACAAGTTTGTGTTTCTAGTCGACTTATTAATTCTGGACTGCGAAGTTGATGCCAAGGCACCAATCATTCTGGGAAGACCTTTCCTAGCCACTGGACGTATCTTGATAGACTGTGAAAAAGGTGAACTCACCATGAGAGTGGCTGATCAGTGTGTGGCTGTCAATGTTTTTAGAACGCTCAAATATGTTGATGACACTGAAGAATGCCAAGGCATTTCTGAATTGAACTCAGTGATTGAAGAAGAGATTGAACATCTTTGGCAGAACAATTTCATTCAGCTAGCAGAAAATGAATATTGGGTGGATGATGAAAGCTTAGTGGAGTCCGACGACTTTCCAATTTTGGAGGAGCAATCTAGCTTAGTACAAGTTAGATCAGGTATGAATTTTGAACCTCTGAATTTTGATGAATTCATTTCTCCTAAGCCTTCATTATTGCATGCACCAAATCTAGAGCTTAAGACTTTGCCAGGGCATCTTAAATATGTTTACTTAGGTAGCGATGAGACTTTACAGGTGATTATTTCCGCTAACCTTACTGCTAACCAAGAGCAAAGTTTGTTAAGTGTTTTGATGCATCATAAGAAAGCAATTGGTTGGACTATGTCCGATTTGAAAGGCATTAGTCCCACGATCTGTATGCACAAGATTCTGCTAGAAGATTGCCACAACAATTCAATTGAACCACAAAGAAGACTCAACCCTGTTATGAAGCAAGTGGTGATGAAAGAAATTCTGAAATGGCTTGATGCTGGAGTGATCTACCCTATCTCCAATAGCTCATGGGTGAGTCCTGTCTAATGTGTTCCGAAGAAAGGATGCACGACGGTGGTTACGAATGAGGATAATGAGCTATTACCCACTCTCACTGTGACTGGATGGAGGATATGTATGGACTATAGAAAACTCAACAAAGCTACGAAGAAGGACCACTTTCCTCTACCTTTCATCGACCAAATGTTGGATCGATTGGCCGACAAAGCATTCTATTGCTTTTTAGATGGGTACTCGGGGTACAATCAAATTGCCATCGCACCAGAGGACCAGGAGAAGACTACATTTACTTGTCCCTATGGTACTTTTGCCTTTAGGAGGATGCCTTTTGGACTCTGTAATGCCCCGGCAACGTTTCAGCGATGTATGCAAGCTATATTTTCAGATATGGTTGAGGATTTTCTGGAGATCTTCATGGATGATTTTTCTGTTTGTGGGGACGACTTTGAACGATGCCTCGGCAATTTAGAAAAAGTTCTCAAGAGATGCGAGGAGGCTGAGTTGGTCTTAAACTGGGAAAAATGTCACTTCATGGTGACTGAAGGCATTGTATTAGGACACAAAATTTCACACAAGGGTATTGAGGTGGACAAGGTGAAAATTGAAGTGATTGAAAAGTTGCCACCACCAACTTCGGTCAAGGGAATAATAAGTTTTCTTGGACATGCTGGATTCTATAGAAGGTTTATCAAAGACTTCTCCAAGATTTCTAAACCCTTGTGCACATTGCTTCAACAAAACTAACCCTTTGTGTTTGACGAATTATGCCTCGACATATTTACTGAGCTGAAACGACAACTGATCTCGGCACCCATTGTAGTCCCTCCCGACTGGACATCACCATTTGAGCTGATGTGTGATGCAAGCGACTATGCTGTAGGAGCTGTTTTAGGGCAACGCCAAGGTAAAATCTTTCATGTTATTTATTACTCTAGCCGCACTTTAAATGAAGCACAATTGAACTACACCACCACTGAGAAAGAATTACTTGCCGTAGTATTTGCTTTTGATAAATTTAGACCTTACCTAATAGGCACTAAAGTTATTGTTCACACTGATCATTCGGCTATAAAATACTTAGTGAACAAAAAGGATGCCAAGCCTAGACTTATTAGGTGGATCTTACTTTTGCAAGAATTTGACTTAGAGGTGGTAGATAGAAAATGAACTGAAAATCAAGTTGCTGATCACTTATCTAGGCTAGAGAACAATTCTGAATGCCATGACACTGTAGATATCCAAGAGGAATTTCCTGATGAGAAAATTTTATATGCCGCGGCAATCCCGTGGTACGCTGACCTTGTTAATTTTCTTGTTAGTGGAATTGTGCCTTTTGATTTGAATAGTCAGGCTAAAAAGAAGTTCAAGCACGATGCAAGGCACTATTTTTGGGATGAGCCATATCTGTTCAAACATTGTGCCGATCAGCTCATTAGACGATGTATACCTGAAGAGGAGCAAAGTGATATTTTGTACCATTGTCATTCGGCCCCAATTTGAGGCCATTTTGGTGGAGCAAGGACTGCTGCTAAGGTCCTGCAATCAGGCTTTTACTGGCCAACTTTGTTTAGAGATTCCCAAGCATTTTACAAAGGATGTGATCGATGCCAACGGACTGGAAATATCTCCAGACGACATGAGATGCCGCTGTAAAATATTTTGGAGATAGAGCTGTTTGATGTGTGGGGCATTGATTTCATGGGACCATTCCCATCTTCTGAAGGAAAATTATATATATTGCTTGATGTGGATTATGTGTCAAAGTGGGTGGAAGCAATAGCAACTTCAAAGAATGACTCCAAGACCGTACTCAAGTTTTTGCACAAGTATATTTTCACTCGGTTTGGAGTACCTCGTGCTATCATCAGTGATGAAGGAACCCATTTTGATAACAAGTTGATTGCCAAGGCATTGTTGAGATATGGAGTTCGACATAAGATTGCCACGGCATATCATCCGCAGACAAATGGCCAAGCTGAGATATATAATCGAGAGATCAAGCAGATTTTAGAGAAAGTGGTGAACCCAAAGCGAAAGGATTGGTCGCCAAAGTTGGATGAAGCACTTTGGGCGTACAGAACATCATTCAAAACTCCTTTGGGGATATCACCCTTCAAGTTAGTGTATGGTAAAGCTTGTCATCTCCCGGTTGAGCTTGAACATAAAGCTTATTGGGCTATCAAGCGATTGAATTTCGATGCTCAACTAGCTGGGGAGCAGAGATTATTAGAACTTAATGAAATGGAAGAGTTTAGAGCACAAGCATATGAGAATGCTCGGATATACAAGGAGAAAACCAAGAAGTGGCATGACCAAAAACTGATGCCACAACATTTTAATGTGGGGCAACAAGTTTTGCTTTACAACTCCAGACTTAAACTCTTTCCTGGGAAGCTAAAATCTCGATGGTCAGGGCCATTTGAGGTGCATTATGTCTATCCCCATGGAGCTGTTAATATCAAGAGAATATACAATGGGAAGATCTTCAAGGTCAATGGCCAGCGTCTGAAAGCCTACAATGGAATTCCACCACCGCACAACAAAGACGTGTTACGGCTGCACGATACTGAAGCGTGCCCAGAGGAGAACCAAAATTCGATGCCTCGGCATTGAATTTGTGTATGTTCATAAATAAAATTTAATATTCAAGTTTTTTTCTTTAGTTTTATTTTATTTTATTTTGTAATTAATTTTTGATCTGATTTGTAGGGACCATATTGCTGCAAACCGTACAAGGAGCGGTTACCAAAGGGAGGAAAGGACAAAGCATTAATTGGAGAGATATTCTTTTGATTTGTTTCTTTTTATTTAATTTAATTTCTGACATTTACTTTTCTCTTTTCACAGTTTTTGTCCCATCATCATCATTGCTTTTTGGCAGTTTTTCCTTCCCCATACACGCACAACCCCCACCCACTAACTTCTCTCTTAACCGTCCTATCACCTCTTTTCCTTCTTAAATTTTTAACTTTTCCTTTTATCTTTCATTATTCATTTTTCTCTTTCATTTTAACTTTTACCTTTTCTCTTTATTTCATTCATCTTCTTTCTTTGTTATTTCTCCATAGCCGAAATACATCCAAGTTTTTAAAGATTTCAAAAGCTTCTTCCTTTTTCATTTTTCTTACTTCAAAAATACTGAAAATGGTGCGCTCAAGACCAGCTCCAACCGACACGACCGCTTGGCAACAGTTTGAGAACGATGAGGCCAAAGCTCGGTTCTAAAACTTCAAGAACCGAAAACTCTTTTTTGAGTTGGGATTTATTTTTATCGAGGAAACTGATGGTGGTTTTGGACCTGATGTTATGGACATCGTGACGCCGCTCAAGTGGCAGAAGTTTGCCCGTCATCCTGGTTCGGTGAACGCTTCATTAGTTAAGGAGTTCTATGCGAACATTTCCAAGCCCAATCAACACTCTATCTTCGTTCGAGGTAAGCAAATCCATTTTACATCCACTGCTATTAATCGTTATTTTCATTTACAGGAGGTAGTAGACGGCCATGCCATGTTCGAAGAGGAAGCTGATAGCAACACATACGATGGGGTCTTGGAGGACTTTTGTTTCGAAAACACTGAGTGGAATGGTCTCCAGACGAGCCGATACTTGGTCAACCGGGAACGTCTTCAGTCGCGCGCAAAGTTATGGAATCACTTTCTCAAGCATAAACTCATGCCCACCTCCCACAACACTACGGTATCACTTTCACGCTTATTGCTTTTACATTCTATAATAGTATCCCGTCCGATTGATGTGGGTCGTATCATTGTTCAGTAAGTTCACGACTGTTTGGGTAAAAAGGTAAGTGCTTTGGTGTTTCCTAATTTAATTACCGTTTTATGTCGTAAGAAAAAGGTTGAGGAAAATGCTTTTGATGAAATTTTACATGGATTATCGGGCATCACTAGGGCTAGACTTCCACTGTTGTTGGGAATTGAAAATCCCAAGTCTAACGACCCTGTTCATGAGCAATCTGCAGGTGCTACAGAATCGAATGCCGAGGCAAGGTTACTTGCTCTCGAGGAAAATGTGACGCAGACTCAAGCTCAAATGCATGCTTTACACGGTGACATCCGTAACTTCTTTGGATATGTGAAGCATAGAGATGCTGTGGTGGAATCATTCTTTCAAGAAATTATTCCCCACGGTCAACGGAATTTCCCTGGTTTCCCAGACGAAATTCTGCCGGCATTCAATGCCGAGGCATCTCCAGAGCCTGAGCACAATGCACCTGATCCTCCTGCTGATGGCCCTACTCCTGATACACACCGTTCCGAAACTCCTGAATATCCATCCACTGTCCCTGTCGAAGAAACACCAGCCCCGTCCCAGCACCCAATCCTTCTCATGCACAACGTAGTGGTCGCCGCACCAAGACCACGACTGGACGCATTGCGCACTATTACTCCACTTCTTTCGAGTCCAGCCCAGCACCTATCCGAAAGCGCACCCGACGAGGAGCTGCTAGCACCTCCAAAGCACCACCACCACGTAAACATTGAGGTACCTCTCTTGCATCCATTTTCATTTAGTTGCATTTCATTGCATAACATATATTTTATAGTTAGTTTAGTTCTCTTTAAAGCATTGAGGACAATGCTTCCCTTAAGTTTGGGGGAGGTATTGTTCTTGGTAGGTCATATGCATGATAGCATTAGCATAGTATTATGCCATGGCATCAGTAAATGGTAGGACAATTAGATGAAATGTTTTGAGGATACCCGATGATGATAATTTTGTTAGGCTAGAATCTGAATGTAAATGACTGTTGAGAATGATATAACTCACTCTAGGGCTTGATGCTTTGTGAAAAATATTTACATGATTTGTATGTTTTCTATACTTAGAAAATTTAGGAAATTTTTATAAAGGAACTTTAGTTAGTCTTGGCATTGAAATATAGTATGGTGTTTAAAAGAAAAATCAAAAACAAACTCCCTTAGAAATGAAACTGTGAATAAATGCTTAAAACATAGCTGTAGAGGGACACTCCTCTTTGCCGTGGCATTTCCTGGAGCTTTCTTTAATAAATAGAAGCCTTGTGCATATGAGTGAATGAAAGAAGTCACGGGATGACTCTACTTAACTAGCTCGGGGATGGAAGGTATGCTCCCTTTCATCTAGAGTGTGGGAGAGTAGGTGTGATGAGCTGACTCCCTTCGTAACAACATAAAAAAAATCAAAGAAAAGGGAGTAAAAATGTGCTTAATGATAAGTAAATGCCTTGACAAAAACTAGGGGACTTGATTAGAAATTGTTTAAATTCGCTAAGTATAGATTGGATACAATCACGCACACACACTACCACAAAGGATTTTGACCTAGGGAAAAGTACTTGAATTCTTGATAAGTCTAGCATGTTGAAGCCTATCGTTCTGAGGGTTGAAATTCAATTTTGTCCTACTGTCTTACTATCGAACTTTGCCATGACATTATGCTTATGTAACTGCTATCCATTGCTTGAGGACAAGCAATAGCTTAAGTTTGGGGGTGTGTTAACTTCCTAAAAAGGCTACTTTTAAAGCCTTTTTCACTTAAGTTATTGTTTGTTTAAAAGCTCATTTTAGTCATTTTAGGATCATGTAGTTGCATATAGTTGTATTTGTGGTGGTTGTGCTATTTTATTTCTTAATGGTGTTGTTTGAGGGAAAGGTGCAGTTTGTCTATGGTGTGCAGGGAATAGCAAGAAAAAGGATTCTTTGGGAAGTAATGTCGCGGCATCACACGTTGCTAAAGCAGATTTAAATGCCTTGGCATTTCTGGCGCAGAAAAAGACAAAAAGATATTTCTGCATATGGACAGCTGGCACTGGACAACTGTCTCTGCACGTGAAAGACTGCTGTAACCGCCTGCCAGAGCTGCCAAAGGATAACCGCCACTTGGAGGATAAGGTTCATGCACAACATGTGATTCTAGGGGTATGAGGGGTATTTTTCACCCAACAAACTCATCATTACCCCTAGATATTTTTTATTATATATGACACCTCATGGGAGAGAGAGACACACACGGACAGAGAGCACACGCATAGAGAGAGAAAAATCACATTTTTATTTTCTCTTTTCCTTTCTTTTTCCTTGGGATATTCCTCCATTGATAAAGCTCCAAGGAGTGGCAAGCTAGGCGCCGGACGGAGCTAGCGAGCTAGGTGGTTCGTAGTGGCCGAGAGGAGACCTCCGGTGGCACGTCGAAGGCTTCTTCTCACTTCCCTGTTTGCTGCTATTTTTATATTATTTTATGGGTTGTTGGAACGAATATTTTCATGACTTTGTGTTTGGATATTTCGAACCCCACCATGAACTAACTTATTTGGTGGTGGTTGGTTGAACGATTGTTTAAACTTTATTTTTTAGGGTATATTTAAGTTTATTTTGGGTTCTTTATTTGCTTTGCTTATGAATGCTTCACCATCTAGGCTTGTAAGAGGTATGGAAATGTCCATCTCTTAGATGAAGGTTAGGTATTCAGAAGAATCCTAAGCTAAAAATACTTGTAAGTATTCGGAAGAAACGCAAGATAAGATCCTCATAAGCAATGGGTTATGGTATTTTCAAGGGGCTTTGAACCGGCCTAGGAATATTATAACTTAATCCCTTAGATCTCGGAAGAGACTAGGATAGGATTTCAACGACTAAAAAGGGTGTCATTATCAATAGGGTAGGCTGTCCAACATCGTTGAGTGAGAGCAGATGCCTTGGCATCCTATTCTGTTAGGTTCTTTTGAACACCTTAGGAAAGCCCTGTCGAGTAAGTAAAGACAAGATAGCTTAAATATACTTGAGAAATAAGTTTAGCAACCTTAGACCAATCCTTACAATTCATTTCATTGGAAGCTTGTCACGTGAGGATTATTTTCTTCTTATTTTATTTATCTTTTTATTTACTATTTTTACCATTTCTCATTGCCTTGACATTTCACCATACTCAATATTAAACATCCATCATTGCCACTGCATTTCCATTTGCTACACCATCACACCATCAATCCGCAGCCACCAGCATACACATATCCATTGCCGTGACATTTGTATATATCAAGACTAACTATACTTAGATAATTTAGTGCGTTGTTTTAGTTAGACCTTCGTAATTTCACCCAATCCCTGTGGAGACGATACTCACTCATCATTATATTACTTGAGCAATTGTGTATACTTGCACATTATTTGCTTATATTTTATAGTACTCACAACACGTGAACAAGTTTATGCATGCGTGAGGTTTTAAATGTTAAATAATTCTAAATGATTATGTTTTGTCTCATGTATGTTGAAAAATATTGTATGATGAACATAATAATTTTTGGTAATGTTTTATAAACTCTAGTTCATCATATTTTTTTTGGTCAAAATTGTTTTTAAAATGTATTTGATATCTCTTTTTAACAATTGATATCGATTTTTCAAGAACTTTGGTTTTGCAAAATTTTGACCTGAAATTTTTCTTAATGT